CCCCGCTCCTGTCACCGGACAGAGCCCTGGCCAGCGCAGGGAGCGGTGTGCCAGGAGCCGGCTGAGGTGCGAGCGAGGGCTGCTCCTGTGCTGCTGCTGCGCCAGGCTGAGTCTCTTGCTTTCTGTTGCAGAGACCTTAGTGAAGCAGCTCTCCTCCTACGAAATCATTACACCTGTCCGAGTGAATGAATTTGGAGAAGTTTTTCAGGAGGAAAAGGAGCTTGGAGGCACCACTGGAGCCCACTGCTTTCCGAACACATTACCAGCTCAGTGCATACGGGCAGGTCTTCCAGCTCAACCTGAGTGCCGATGCAGGCTTCGTTGCTGCTCAGTACACTGTGGTGCACGTAGGGGCCCCGCAGGAGCAGTCCTCCCCTGATTTGCGCCACTGTTTCTACCGCGGGCATGTCAATGCTCAGGAGACTCACATGGCTGTCTTCAGCATCTGTGGTGGCTTGGTAAGCATATTGGTTACTGCCTCCTGTCTCCATTCATATTCTTCTCCTTCCTGAAAGAAATGTAGTGGGATGCCTTTGCCGCAGAGCTGAGCTGGAAATTCTCAGCCATTGTTCCAAATAGTTGGTCATGAAATGTCTTGGCATCAGCAGCTTGCAGTCATGATGATAGGTTTTTGGCGGGATATACAAATGCTGCTTTCAAAGGATCTATTGCCGGCCTGTAATAGAATTGGTTGATGTAACTCTTGACACCAAGAGCATTACAACAGGGGAAAAAACATGCCTCAGAAACACAGTAAGCTATTGTTTTGATAAAATGGTGCTGTTAGTTGGCATCAGTTACGTGTATGTAGCTTTATAGATACTGTGTGGTTATGAGTGAGGAATAATGGTACTTGAGATGATGAGAGAAGAACTGGTGTTGATATTTTTATTCCTCTGCTTTCAGCAATGCTGTAGAGGTGTGTCATGTTCTAATAGGGATGCAGCAGTGCTCTCTAATCATGTTTCTGTTAAAAGTGAATGGGAAGCTTCTAACTAACTTTAGTGGGAGTGTGTCTATGAAATGCTTCCTAAGAACTGAATTGAGCAAACAAATCAAAACTCCCTTGATATACATTCTTTACTTATCCCTTGATAGCATTCCTTGTGCCTTCAAAAGTGATAATGAAGAGATAGTATCATACAGCTGTCTATCAAAACAGTTGTATTGTGTTGCTAAATGTCATAGTTTTGTGTCTAGAAACAAGAAGACTGATATCTAGTGCTTTACCACATCATTGTTTATTGAATTGCTGAGGACAAGTCTGTGTGACATGCACGCTGTAAAAAATACGAAGTTGTAAATATTACTGTGAATTTAAGTTGAGGTTGTGCCATGTTTTTTGCAGTCACTCAGGAAAGTAAAGGTGCAAGACACTTTTGGGAACTGAAAAAATCCAGCTTTGTATTCTAGTTTCTTTCTAGTAGCCTATAGAAAATAGAATGGAGTTGGCTGGATGCGTGCAGGAAGGTGTAATGTGTGTTAAAAGAAGGTGATACACACGATAGAAAAGAGGATCGGAAATAATTGGTACTTGCGAGAGACATCTCTGTTGTCTAGTGCTTATTCTTGGGTATGTGGATATATGCTACCTTGTCTTCGGGTTGAGGCTTGTAGGCTTGGGCTAGTCCTTGGAGATTACTGGAGAAGCAAGCATTCGAAAACAGTAATTCTGTATTTTTCAAAGTTTTGCCTACATATCTTCCTTTACAAATAGCTGTCACTGGTTCTTGTCTGCATTATACAAAACCCGATTCGAACCAACCCCCCCAATATGTTGCACTCCTAACTCAGAGGGAGTAGGAAAGAAGAGGAACCACTAATATCTGTTGGGTTTTTTCATGTTGTTTCATGTTCTAGTAGATGCTCATATACCATGGCATAGAGAATAGTGTCATACTCTATACGGAATAAATACGAGACGTTTTAACACCTTCTCTATTCATAACTTTTGTTGCCTGTTTTAATTTTGTCCCTGCAAACCATCACCTTCCATTACTTGAAGGGACCACGTGCACTGAAGATAATTTTTCTGGAAAACATGTACCTACTGCATTTAAAAATTGTCTCAACTACCTATTATTTAGCAGTTCTCAAACTCTTCAGCACAAGACCCTCTTCTCTGTAATAATTTGAATGTCTCATTTCTCTTGTTTCTCTCCCCCTACTTGGCTGATACCTTGCAGTCTGCATCATGTATGCTCCCACTCAGAAATCCTTGAGTACCTTTAAACTGAGCCTTTGCCTCTTCTAAATGAGCCTTGTGAACTTTCACTGCAGCTTCCAGCTGGACTTCATGTCCTCTGTCGTTGCCTGGCTGACAGAGTGCCTCATCTGAGCCAGCAGCAAAGGCCTTGCTGTGCTGGTCCTCTCAGGACCTTCTGTCACTGCTCATTTCACCTTCTGCCTGGGCAGACACAGCCTTGCGGAGGGTATGTAGTGTACGCAGTATCGTGCCTGCTTTCCCCTCAATAATGAAGCTGGTGAGGTTTTCAGAAGAGGAAGCAGAGCCTTGCATGGGTGCTGGTGCACCATGGGGGACATGCCTGTAGTTAAGAGGCGGACGCAACCAGCTGGTAGCCTATATCTGCACAGAGTATCCTCCAGCCTGACTCAGAGCCTTCAGCCTAATGTTCTTCCTCATCCTCATGGATTCAAAGTAAATGTTACACTAGTCATGTGACTGCCAGGGGAGACAACTTTTTTGGAGTTGAGAGAAGAATGGATGTGAAAGGAGGGAGATAGAGGCCAGGTGGACTTCTCCTGTGAGATCTTGTTCTCCCTGAATGCATTCCCCATCCCCAGGTGGGGCTACCTTCCAAAGGTAGTAACAAGGTATTTTTTCCTCAATGTTTTTAAAATTTCATAGCTTTGCAGGTACATTTGTTGAATGCACAAAAATAACCTATTGCTCTTTCATTGAACAGTACCAAGCTTCGTGAATATATGCGAAGATTTAGGTGGGGCTGCTGCTGACGTAAGATGCTATTTATTGTGAGTGGGACAGTAGACACTAGACCAGTGACTCGGTAGCCCTGTATTACATTTATTTTAAGTAAAATCCCTTCTCTTTGTAGGATCCATTTTCTTCAATGCTGAGCTTGAGCTTGGTGTATGGAAATTAAAATAGAGGAGACTGCTTTGAACCATTAGGTATAATTTTATCTTCCAGCTTTGTATATATAAGACAATTGCTGTAGACCAATGCTGTAAAAGCTAGGGAGGATAAAAGGACGTGAACTTAGATAAAAAGGTACATGAAATTTTAACAATGAAATTTTAAAAATTGCTCTGAAGATGTGCCTGAGTGATCCGAAGTTAAACCAGGTACTTGAGTTCACTTTATCCTGTAGGCATCTATCCCCAAGTTCTGCACTGCCTTCATTCACAGCTTCCCTCCCGCTTCCCAAGTTCCTTCTTTTCCTTTCTGCGTTCTTAAGTTGAATGTGTTCTCCCCCTCAAGCTCTGCTTTCCCTTTTCACCCTCAGTTAAACTTTTTTCTGAGTGTGTCAAGAGCATGCACAACCCAGAGTACCCATGGATCATTGCTTAATGGCTCCTGACACCCTGTATGCGGTTTTGTTGTGTTACATTTCAGAGCATGCCCAGGGTTCAGGGATGCAAATGGCAAAGGGAGGCTAGAAGGTCAGCGGGGAGTCTGTAGTAATTGCAAGGAAAGAGTGTGTAATTAGGGAAGTTTGGGATACCGTCAAAGGCAGAATGTCATTTGGAGTGATGGCCTCGGTGCCTGGTTGAACATCTGATCACATACAGGCATATTTCTTGCATCTTTAGAGTAATTTTTGAAATTTCACACTTTATTTCACTTTATTTTCATAAGTTCTATATCTTTCTTACTTTTACTGCATTGGTCAATTATAGCTTCCTACAAACACAGGAAACGAGATTCACTGAGGGTGCTTCTGGATGCATGTAGACTAAGGAGACCTCTCAGACATTATCCAGACAGCAAAATCAAAGGGGTAAAAAAAAAAAAAATCATTTAACTTTTGAGAACATATGGCTTACAAGTTTATTGACAAATATGAGTAAATACCAGTGAATAAAGTTAAAATGAGGGAGCCATCAGCATTTATAACTAGAACGAACCTTCAGTTCCTAGCAGGCCGCTGTCTGAAGAAAGGAGATTTATTTTTATTTTTATTGTTATTTGTTTTAATCCTGAACAAATGCTATAAAACAGTTTTAGTCCTTTGAGAAGCCTGGTATTCTTTCATGGAGGTCAGGAATGTGTTGACTGAGGACAGTGAAAATCAGTTTTTGTGAGCTGGGAGAATGCCTAAATGCCAAAGGTGTTTTATGTGACTCTACTGTGAGAGAGGGAAAGGTAAGGAAGGAGGAACCGTACATCTTTTTGGGTGCACATACATCTTTTTGGGTGTAGAGTCTCTGGTGCATAGAGCCATTTGACATGCTCATTGACTGGCAAAAGTTAAGAGTAGGAAAGTACACATGAATCTCTTCTTGCATGGATTTGCTACCTATGAGCTTTCTTCAGTCTAGGAAGGCAGGACTGCCTTGTTCTAATGTAGCTTCTGGAGTATAACAAGGTCTGTGTGACAAATTCCTTCCTCAGGAGCTCAAGGAAGCCCCTTGGTTACACTCCTTTACTGCACATCAAGCTTGCTTTTGTCTGGAGAATGGCAGAAATATGAACCTAAGTGTGGATCTTCAGAATTTCCTCAGTACAAGAGGTTGTATTTATTTTTTTTACTAATATGGGTCAGCAAATCACCTTTCTGAGAGATTTCAAAAACAATTCTGTCTGCTACTATGGATGAGTGCAGTGGTTCATTTTCAGGAAAAGTAGGCAGTCCTCGAATTTATTTTAATGAAATGTAATTTTTAATCATTTGGTTTTAAAAAACAAACAAAAAAACCCCAACAAAAAACCCAAACCCAAAAAACTTGCTAGAAGCTAATGCTAGCATAGCCAGCATGTAGTTTCTTGTGGAGATCTATTGCAGGTAACAGACTCCAGGTATTTGCTTCCCATTTTTGTGCTGCTTAGTGCTAATAACTTCAATGAGTTAAAGCTTTCTTTGGAAAACCAATGTAGTTTAACACTTGTAACTGGAAGACATGCTTACCTTGACATAACTTAATGCTTTAACTTATGGGCTGTCACTTCAAAAAAGCTACCTTCTAAATCTGAAAGGTGGATTAGTTTTCAGCATTCAGGTCACATTTATAAACCTATGAGCATCCATAAGTCACATACTAGTTTTTAAAGATTTTTATCTTAATGTAGAAATTCCATCATAAGCTAGGAAAAAAATCATTAAAATGTCAACTCAAGACAATCAATTCTTTTTTGAACAAACTAAGTCTTATTGCTGCTGACTGGTTGACGTGATGACTTCCACTTAACAGTTCTGGTTTCACTTGTCATATAGGTATACAAGGTGAGTGTTTAGCTGTGAATCTCTCCAATACA